TCTGTGTGACATTTATATTATAGAATCTGAAATGCCTGTCAATCGGGTTGTTCTTCTTTCTCCCATATGGCTCCATAATCTACCATCCACAACATGTGGGTTTTTTGATACTCACTTTGGATTATGCAAAAGCAGCTGTGTGTACAGATGGCACTTTGACTCTTTGGCCCAGCTATTTTCCCCATGCAATCTTTGCAGACTGAGCCTTTAACTGTGCAATGGACTAGTAAAGCTAGGGATGTGAATTACTGGAATACTGGGCAAGTGTCATAGTAGAAGGACAAACTGTAAATAATTATGAGATATATATATAAAGGATATAGTATATTTTGCTACCTCTGACTTTCATAGTTTTTCTTGGGGTTCATCACACCATTGTTATTTATTTATCTTATTTTTAGCACCATTGTGGCAGAAAATAGGTCTGAAACAAAATCCAACACTTGATTGGTAGAGCAATGTGACTTAGCTTTTTTTTCCCCACTATTTAGCATTTGGAGATTGCTTGATAATTCCTTGACTACCATCAAAATGCCTCTCCCCTGGTCTTAAATGACTGATTTAGAGACTGATGTGTAACATACACTATTGATTGATAAATAAACATCAGTCAGATTTCAGATCTGGATATGGAACAGACTGGACATTGGTTGAACTTTTAGAAGATCTCCAGCATGGGTGGGATGGTGTTGATGCCACCATCCTTGTATTAATTCACCCCTCAGTTGTTTTTGATACCCTTGACCATGATATCTTCTAGATCAACCCAGAGGAGGGGGGGTGACACACTATTGTGTTGGTTCATCTCCTTTCTCCAGGACCAATTCCAACTGGTGGTGATTGGGGTGGAGAGATCTCACCCTCCTATGTGGGTGCCACAGAGGTTGGTACTCTCCTTCTCCTATTTAACATCTACATAAGACCACTAGGTAAGCTTATCCATCATGCTGGGATATTGTAATGGTACTTTTTTGCTCCTGGAGAATGAAGTAATGCTGTGAAAATTTTGTTCTAATGTCTGCAGGCTATGAGGGTCTCAATGGACAATAGCAAGCTTCAAGTGAACCCAAGCAAGACTGAGTGGCTTTGAGGTCCTCTGGTTCTAGGACTACACCATCCTTAATGCTAGATGGGATTGCATTGTCCCAAACAGAACCTCTGTGAAGTTTGGGGATCCTCCTAGATTCCTCACTCTTGCTTGAGGAGCAGGTGGCAGTCTTGGCTAAGAGACTCTTTGCACAACTTTGTATTGCATGCCAGTTGGCACATTTCTGGATCAGATGGCCCAAGTCACAGTCATTTGTACCCCAATCACCTCTCAGATGGATTTTTGCAATGCACTCTATATAGAATTGCCCTTGAAGAGTATCTGGAAACTTCATCTGGTACAAAATGCAGTAGTATCAGCAGTTATGTGTGTTTCTGGTAGGGCACACATTACAACTCCGCTGAGTGACTCTCCATTGGTTACCAGCTTATTTTCAAAACTCTACATGATATGAGACTTGGTATTTGAGAGGCTGCCTTTTCCTGATTTATCTGCCCTTCCAACAAGGTCTCACAGAATGGGTAAGTCATAGGTTCTGATGTCTAGAGAGTAACTGTAGACCTTTTCTGCTGTGGTGCCCTTGTTGTGGAATCTTCTCTTATTATTAACATCCCTCTATTATTCTCTTTTTCTGTTTTATCTTTGCTTTTAAAATTTTAATTCTTTTTTACAATTCTTTTAACTAAAGATTTGTCTTCTTTATTTACTGCTTTTACTGGATTGATGTTACCTTGTCCAGGGTTACTTTCTATGAGATGGCCACTGTTATGTCCTGGGCCTGCTGAATTGCTCAGCAGGCTCAGGAAGGTTGCAGAGAGTCCTGGGGAGACCACGTGGTTGCCCGGGACCAGACAGGCTGTCACCAGCCTTGCGCACATGCACAAGACGCAAAACCAGCCTTGCATTGATTGGTTGACGCTGTCCTTGCAAAGAGACTATAAAAGGCCTGCACACCATTTTGTTTACTGTTCTGTTGCTGACTTGCAATAAAGAAGACTTGCTTTTGTGTTACTCGCTTCGTTTAAATGCCTTTGACTCACGAACAGAACAGCCACCATATAAATTTGATAAATAAATAAACTCCTGCTTCTCGATTTCTTTTAAGTTGAGAAACAGAAAAAATATAGCTAGTTCTTTAAAGCTAAGAAGCAAAGTGTTGAATGGCAGTTTGGTAGGCAAGGGGAGAAAGTTGTCACAAAGCAAGTGGTTCAGAAGAAAATTACCTCTATTTTCACAAGGCAGGAAGCTAGGGATAAATAAAAGTAAGTTCAGTTATCTAGCAAATTTAGCCTGAAATGAAAATTCTGACAAATAATAATAAAAAAGACATCATTATACATGTGCTCATATTCATTAACTGGCATTAAGGGAACAAATTACTTTTTCGCATGGCAGGATATTTTAATGGTACATTTCAAGTGTTTTTATAGGCATGTGTGTACAGGCAGGATCTTTAATTTGGCTTTAATATTTAATCCTAATATCACACTACCTTTCATGTTCCCAACTGCTTATAATATGGCTATTGTATATTAACATATGGATTTGTTTTCATGAAACATATGTCATGCATTTTCAGGCTTCAATAATCTGATGTCCCACTGATTTGTTTATATTGTGACAAATTTTAGGTAAAATAAACACCTTTTAAAAACAAAACTTCAATAATCAGTTTTATCCTTATGTTCAGTTTTCTCTTTAGGGAGGGAGAGAGGGAGAGAGAGAGAGAGAGAGAGAGAGAGAGAGAGAGAGAGAGAGAGAGAGAGAGAGAGAGAGAGAGAGAGAGAGAGAGAGAGAGAGAGATGTTGGAATAAAACAATTCTAAATATTTCTGGATACTTTATTATATCTTTCTTTATTCATTTTGACTACAAACATGATTTAGAAATGGAGGTAACATTTAATAATCTGTCAGATGCTCCACAAGAAGTGAATCTTTACTATTCACATGAACTTCTTATCTTCTTGTGATTCTATAAGGCACATCAGGCTATGAGCTATGGAATGGCTCTCCTACCCTCTTAACCCCAAAAATCCTTGGGGCTTTTTTAGACTGGCTATGCAACCTAGATTTTTCCACTTTCAGAGATTTCTCAGTACTGGGATTATTTTTTCAACTAATTATTTCATATTTTCTTTTACCTGTGTTGATTTGCAATGATTTATCTTGTTTATATTATTTTTCAGGAATATTGTTTTAAAAATGGATATTATTTAGTTCTTAATATTTTGACTAATTACAAAGTAGTTAGAATGGCCTTTCTTAGAGAAGGGAAGATGTCAATAATTGTAAGAAGTTGATGCCACTTGTGTATATGTGAATTATGTATGTATGTTAACAAATAAAAGAAAAAACGAACACCAGGATATAATAAACCAGCCTGTTTAATATAAACAAGCCTGTGGTTAAGAAGAGTCACTAAGCTTTCATCCGGTCAAAAAACTGCCAGCGTCATCAAAGTTAGAATAGCAGGAGATCAGGAAGGCAGCTCATATAGGATCGTAAAACAACCAATGGAGTCAAAGACAGTTTGCCTGATGCGGAACAACTCTGTGCGATACGGATTAACACAATCAATGGGCCGATGACGTGCTCAAGGAGCCAAGCGCAGAGGCAGGAGGCTATATGAGCTGCCTTCCCGATCTCCTACTATTCTAACTTTGATGACGCCAGCAGTTTTTTGGCCTGACGAAAGCTTAGTGACTCTTCTTAACCACAGGCTTGTTTATATTAAACAGACTGGTTTATTATATCCAGGTGTTTGTTTTTTTCTTTTATTTGTTAGCATAATGCCCAGGATTCGCATTTTGAGTATTTTAAAAGACATGTATATATGCGTGTATGTATATGTATAATTTTTTAAAGTTCTTCTGAATAGACATGGATGTAATTCCAGACAAGCACCAGGGACATCACAGTGATGGAATTGCAAAGAATGGCTCAAAATCCCATCAGATGGGATTCTCTTCATCTGACCTGACCAACGCGTTCAGCTCCAGCTGTGACTGATGCTGTTATAAGAAATAATGCATTGTCCATTATTATGTACTCATGCATTATGTACTCATAATGCATTGTCCAAGTCAACATTAGGCTAGATGTTACTTTTAGTTCAATTTAACAGGTAGGTAAATGCTAATGATATGAATGGAATCCAAAGTTCCACAGTAAGTAGCAACTCATCTTACTGACATCCAGAAACATGTCCCTGGGATAGGATGGGGTGGGGTGGGATGATAACCAAACCAGCATTCTGCTCCAATTCATGTTAGCTAGTTGCTTTGTTAAATTACAACAAATAACACACCTAATGATAATATTAAGTTACAGTGTTGTGACTTTGTCCTGCTTCAACTTGTCCCCCTCCCTACCATAATGACAGCTAAATCTATCTTGCAAAGGTAAATGCCACAATAAATGTCACATCCAATTTAGCATAATATTCTGTGTTGAAATGCAGAGTTCCTTAAAATGAAGCATGCCATTAAATCTGTACCTATATTCAGAATAAAATGTATATGTCTAATATAAATTCCAGAAGAACTATAAATTAAATGTAGCTGGTATACTATACATGTTTGATAATGATATACATTGTTTGTGATCTCGAAGTACTTCATCATCTATCTTTTTATTAACATAAGGAGAGAGGGAGAGAGAGAGGGAGAGAGAGAGAGAGAGAAAACTCTTTAACCTTAATTATAAGCCACAGGTAATAAATAAAAGAGTTTAATTAAATATTCATCTTGAAAGCTTCTGTTTGTTTCATATTTGTGTGCAAATATGGGTAGATAACAAAAATGAATGTAAGTACCCTGAGATTTGAGTGTAACAATTAATGTTCCAAGAGCCAGAAGGATATATTAGAAACTGTCAATAAGATAACAATCATCGTCTCAGTTAGCTACTGTTTTCAGGGAATTTAATATGTTGATTCAAGAATGGAGTAGGAGAACAATGCATTGATCATTTTGACAATGCTAAAAAAAGTATGCAATACTTGTCTAAAATTATTTTAATTACAAATACTTTTGGATGCTTTGTTTTGTTGTTTGTTGCAGGAGCTTGAATTCCTAATTTAGCCATAAGGGAGGGGGCATATGAAAATGAAACATATTTCAGTAGATTCCCTAGATTTGATTATAACCATATAATATTTTAATCATCCATAAGCCTGGTATTTCATTAATTTGAAATCTGTATTATTCAAATATGTAATAGTGTGTAATACACTATGAAGCACTAACTGCATATGTTCATTTTTATTTTTATTTTTTAGAAGAAAGTTTTTCTAAAGCTCTTCCTGTTGGGAACACAAGGAGTGCAAGATAATGCCTTCCTTTCTTTAACTAAAAAAAAGATATCCATGAATTTAAAAAGTCCTGACACAAAGGACAAAAGACAAAAAAAATCCACTCTATTCTCAGCAAATTGGACGTGGCTTTGACATTTTAAAGGTAAGTTAAATTATTTAGGAAAAACATAATTTTCTTTTCAAATCAACACCATATGTCATATAGGCATTGTATATTTTTTCCCTTCTGTCTACAAAAAATGCTTTTTCTGTCATTTTTAAAATTATGATAGATTTCAACATTTTGAAAGCCAAACATCTAATCTTTTTACAATAAGTTTACTTCATGTGCAGGAAGTTAGCAGCTGTTAGAGCTGTTCTGGTTTATGAAAATCTGCAGAAAACCAATTATTCAGCTACAAAGAAACCTAATAATATGGATGGAAGGATGATATCTAGATATCTCTCTCTGTGTATTTAAACTATACAGAAAGTTGTCCCCTATCATATGGCCAGTAGTAGCGCACAGTGTCCCTACTGCAGACTTCATTTCTACCTCTGCTGATTGAAAGAAAGAAACTGGCAGACCATATGAGTAGAAGCCAAACCATTGGTCAGAGCAACCTGGAACAAAATGGGGGTTGGGTGAGTGATATGACATTCTGGATGCTAAAGGGGAAAGGCAGTGCTACAGAATTATGATGGGGTTGCACTAATAAAAATTAGATACAATTCTATTGGTTTGTAGAAGAGTTAAGAGATAAGAAAGTTAACCTGGATACTATGATCTGGTTGCATTTTTTTTTTCTGTAGGTGGAAAAAAGTCATAAATAGAGGAAATGGGATCCTGGAAGTGAGAAGAGACATGTGTCTGCTTAGCAAATAGCTTTAAATCAGTAAATAAATCAAAATTAGGAAATCCCTTCAAGGCGGGGGAGGGTGTCTGTTAAAAAAAAATCAGAGACACAAGAAAAATGAAAGAAGAATTGCACAGATGCATAAACATTTATAGGGATAAATGAGAGAAGAATATTAGGCTGCAGCAAGGGCTAGGAAAAAGAAAAAAAGGCAAGCAAGGGAAAGCTTAGTTTAAAGAGGGGAAAAATACAGTAATGAGATAAAGGGAATAAGAGACAGTGTTTAAGTCAAGATATATGGAAAGACTACTTGTGAATAAGCAGGGGATGTTTCAGCCTGCAGATAGGATTCCATTCCTGGCAACTAACAAGGCAGCTTAAAAGATGCAAAAGGATCTGGAACATCCATTGGCAGCTTGGCTGAGTGAGAGGGAGGGAAGCTGGAAAGTTTCATCAGTGAAGAAATTGAACAATGACTCAGCTAAGTGAAGATCAAGATTTGAGGAGCTGGGAAGAAAGGAATGGGGCTCTTGTTCTGTTTGTTTGTTGTTGTTTTTTGCCTATCATTAGAGCTGATATTTTTTTTAAGCAGAAATTACTAGGAAGAAAAGAATTGCAGGAAATTACTAGGAAGAAAAAAAAATAGCATTGAAATCTGATGTACAAAAGGTTTTGCCCACCATGGATATAATCAAGTGGGGTGATATCCTCCTTGTGATTATTTTATGGGAATATAAATTTATAGAGATAACTGTCAATAACCCTAATCCTAACTAATCTGGTGGGGGAAAAGCAGAAAGTGGAAGAAATAAGCAGACATAACTAATTGGTGCATGAAAAACTCATTTGGTGGACAAAAGAAAAGAAAAGAAAGGGTTTAAATTCAGACAAGCCAAGATGAAAGAAGACTAAGAGGGATCAGACTGCCAGGACTCCACTGACCATTTTTCCAAGACAGAGAAAAAAATAGATTTGTTAAATATATTCTATGCTTTTACAGGAAACAGCTCGGTTGTTCTCTATAGGACACGAGGAGATTCATCCCCTTGTATTCAGTAGTTTACCATTGTTTACAGTTATTCCTCTGTTTCATACTGTTACTGTATATGATTTTAATTTAATTCAAATAATGAAGTAGTTTTTACCTGTTCAGAATTAAAAGTTGATCATTTTGCTTACTGGAAGCCCAAGACGTGAAGGGCATTTCACTTACAACCCCACCTCTCTAGTTGAAAACCTGGAGCTGACTTGTTTAGATGGCAAAGAAGGTGGGAGCATTCCTGCTTGAGAGTTCTCACAGGGATCCAGCTCCTCAAACTCAGGAAGAAGTGCAACTGTAGATGCCCAGTGACAGCACTGATTTCCAAGGAGGTTTAATTCATTTTGTAATCACATCTGCATTCAGGTCTGATGTGTACCTTCATAGCCACACAGAAATACAAGCTGGAGATAAATTGTTAGACTATTCATAATTTCCCAGTTCAGTAGCAGGCAAGAAAGAATAGCTACAGGTAACAATATACCCAGTGATGGGATTCAAATATGTGAACAACCAGTTCTCTGTGTGGATGCCGCTTCTGGAAATCCATTCTGGGCCTGGGCAACAAAAATTTAGCTACCTGTTCTGCTGAAGTGGTGTGAACTGGCTGAATCCCGCCACTGAATATATCTAGTTCTCTGCCTGCAAATCTCTTTTCCCCAGATAAATTCAAAGCAAATTGCTTGACTCACATTTTTGAACCTGTTTTTTAGCAATTAGCTTTTTGTTTGTTGAATTTGTCTTTTTCTTCTTGTTTATGGATTGGTTTGGGGTTTTTTTTGTTTTGTTTTTTTGTGGCACTGGAAGGAGAGACACGAACTGATCCCGACTTGCAGGTTGGCTGATCTGTCTTTTAGTTGAAACATTGAGAAGCAATCCTAAAATCTAATTTCCCACAAGAAGAAGTAGGGAAAAGAAACAGAAGATGAAAAAAAAATGTTAGAAATATTGAGTAAAGTCCAGGAAATATCCCCTGTGCCATACTAGTCAAATAGAGGTTACTTGCCTGGTTTAAGTACAACAACAAAAGCATCCCAATGTTATTATGCTAATAAGAAAAGAAAACAAGATTTGCAACCACTGCAAAGCAAGTGACAGAATTGAGTCTCCAGAGGCTTAAGAGTTGTTTGTGAGAAGGTGTCAAGTCTTTCATAGGAAAAACTGTTAATTAATATCAGGCAAGTTTAGAATTCAGCAAAGCTGGTTTTCCCAGCAGAACAAGTGACAAATTTAATTATTCTTGTTCTGTGCAGTCAGATCAGGAGCAATTTCAAGACAAAGAGATCCAAAAGACATGTAGAAAAAATATTGATAAATCACACAAGCTCCAAGTTGAATTGCAACATTAAGTTTGACCTAAGGCACAGTTAATCTGCATGGATAATCTTTCTCTATCCATTATTTTTGAAAGAAATGCTGATGCAAAGTAGAGTGTATATACCTACCGTTATATTATGTGTCTCACCCACACTACTAGCTACAGTGTTGTCTTTCATATAGCTGGCCCTGCTGCTGTGGGAACTAGTCTGTGACTTTGGGATTCCCTTCTAAGATGGGCAAAGTAAGACTATGACCAAGAGAACCATTATCAAACTTCAGCTGGTGCAGCAAATGGAAGGGCAAGAGAGCTGGCAAGCAAAACTAACATAGTTTTGGGCTGCATCAGAAGACTCACAATATCAGTGATAGATGAAGTCATTATTCTTTTTATTTGACATTGGTGAGACATCACTTGGAATACTGAGTAGTATTCTAGACCCCATATTTTCTGAAGGATATGAGCTTAGAGGTAGGCAACAAAGGTGAGGCCTATGAGACTAAGCTAAATGTATATTCATAAAATGAAAATGAAAAAAAAAGTCTTGGATAGACATGACAGCTAAACAAAGGCAATTTACAAAGAAAATGCCCAATTATTTTCTGTGGCCACATAAACTAGGACCAGAAATAGCAAATATGAGTTCTGCTAGTTAGATTTCATTTAATCACAAGGGAAAACTCTCTGGTGATAAGCTTATCCATGGAGGTTGTAGGTTATCCATCTCTGGAGATTTTTAAGATGAGGCTAGACAGTCACCGGTTGAACTACATGATCCTTGTTATCCTTTCCAACTCTACAGTTCTACATTTCTGTGAGGGGTCTGGGTGCACTAACTCATACCCTTATCATTACTCAGTAAAATTTTTACAATGGCCATTCTATACAGGGGATGTCCTTGAAGACCACCCAAAAACTGAAGTTGATTCAAGACGTCCACTTGCTACCTGGCATAACTAACTATAAATATATTACACCTACTTTGTGGGTCCTGCATTGGTTGTCAATATGTTTCTGGTATAATGTGAAGTGCTAGATTTGACTCAGAAAGCCTTATACGGCTTAGTACCTAAATAACTATAAGGTTGCCTATTCCAGCTATTTCAACCTCTTTGAGGAGATGCTTCTGGGAGAATTTGCTTGTGATAACTTGCTTTAGTGAGATGAGGTGCCAGAAATCTCTACTTTTCTATCAAGGTGCTTGTGTCTTGAAACAGTCTCCTTTTAGTAATTAGGCTTGTGTCATTGCTGATGGCCTTCCCTTTTAGAACTTTTACAGACCAAACTTTTCTTAATGGCCTTTGGAAATTATTATGGTGATTACTACTTAAGATCTACTTACCATTACTGGGCATTATAATTGGTCTTACTATTGACTAGAATGTTTTCAACATTTTTTTTTTACATTCTGGATATTTTTATTGCATTTAACTGTGTTGTAGTCTTAAAAATTCATATATTCACCGATGATGAGGCATGACTACAAACCAGAAGCCAGACCACAGCTGCATCATTAGTCACTTTAAACCCCTCCAATTCATACATGAAGCAAACTGACACCCACCATGAAGATGAGGCATGACCACGAACGCGAAGCCAAACCACAGCAACGCAGCTCACCATCTCAAATGCTCCTGCAACTCAGACTAACATGAGCACAACAAAGCCCCCACCCAAACAGAACACTTGCCCATCCAATCAGAGCACAGCCAACGCCCCATCCAATCAGAGCACAGCCAAGCCCCTAACCAATCAAAACACACCTCCACCCAATCAGAACACAGCCAAGCTCCCACCCAATCAGTTCATACCCCCACTGGCAGTTAAAAGGAAGAAACAGCTACAATCACACATTGCTCCTAGAAGCACGAAGCCAAAAACACCAGCCTGAAGATGACAAATGGGACTTCGTCGAAACATCACCAAGACACTTCCAATTTTATGCGGGAGAAAACCCGAATAACCAAAGATATAGATAGATAGATAGATAGATAGATAGATAGATAGATAGATAGATAGATAGATAGATATAGATATAGATATAGATATAGATATAGATATAGATATAGATATAGATATAGATATAGATATAGATATATAGACAAGTTACAAAGCTAAAAATTCGACTCTTGGGTAAGTCCATGATAAAACCAATAAATACTGATCACCAAGAGGAAAGTAGTAAAAAATTTAATGAGCCGAGCTTTCGTTGGGATCACCCAACATCATCAGGGCTTTAAAAGTAGTCACTGGGAAAGAGCCTTTATACGATGTTAGCAGCCTGTATCCAGCTTCTAGAATGTATTATTGGACCCAGCTGTTCGTGCTGCATCTCAGATGCATTACCTATGTCAATGTATGATTTTTTCCGATATCTCCCCCATGTTTTACCGTAAGTGTTCTCCTCGTTAACCCCAGGGGCAGAGGGAGTTCTTTTCCCTTTACATGTTGATGGTAATTGTTCCCCTCCTCCCTCATCCTTGTGTATATGACACCATGCTGAATTTGACAGTGAGATCAAGGAAGAACTGCACCCCCCCCCCCAAGCATGGTGTCATATACACGAGGATGGATAACAATTTTAACATTCTTCCTCTCAATTGAGCTACAAAGGAAACTTGGGGAAACTCTGCTCAATTTCACTCCATTAAAGGGAAAGAGTATTTCACTATTCCACTGCTTTGCCTGTTTAAAAAAATCACCCTTTCATGGTAGACCACTAGTAGCCTGGTTTAAAATTCATGTAAGGCAGGTGGATATGTGATAAAGCAAAGAATTATTGGAAAAAGATACATACTTGGTTAGAAAAGATGATGTAGAGTTTAAACCTGAACTTTTTTATTAGGTATAATGCCAGAAAAGTTTAATAAACAAAGCCTGTATTTGATTTTACACGTCACAACAGTGGCAAAAATAATATTTGTGCAATATTGGAAAAATGAAGGAATACCACCGGATGAAGAAATAATATTGGAATGCGCAGAGATGGATAGATTGACCATAAGACTGAAAGAAAAAGAAGAAACAGAATATTACCAAACTTGGGACTTACTTTACCGATGGTTAGAGGAAAGAATAAAGGATTAGGAATTTAATATGTACTAGCATATTTAAACTCATGTTGGTTGAAAAATTATTATTAAATGTATGGAAAAAATTAATAAAACCTTACAAAAAAATAAAAATAAAATTCATGTAGAGAGCAGGAAGCTGGGATGCCAGCCAGTGGGAAAGAGAGATGAAGCAAAGCACTGCAAGTGGACCAGACAGCTCCACTTCACCAACAGAGAGACAAAACACTAATTTTTACAGGGAACCAGAAAAGAGATCATCTTCCTAGCAGTCTTGGGAGTGGCTGAGGAGAACACCATCCTTTCCCACCTTCCCAAAATTGTAGATGGCCTATCTTTGAATAGAGGCAAGCAGGAAGTGTGGATCAGCCCTAAGTCAACATATTTCTAGTGCTACTATATTTTACTAGAAAGCAGAATCAAGCTGGAATTTTCCTCATGGGCACCCTACTTCCCCATTAATAAGAGGAACTCTTGCCTCATCTCATAATGTGCCTCTTCAAATCAAGCTAGCTGTGACTTTCCCATATCTAATATTTATGTTTCCTGGAGTTTATCTCTTCCTGCATATATTGTCCTGAATCTAGCAGCCATGACAACCTGCAACCATGGTTTCAATTATTGGGGAAAGCAGCTGGAAGCCAAACAATTAACATACTGCTGCTTTATTTTTACTAATTACAAGAGTGTATACATCCTATTATGACTGATCTTGCACATTTTTTCTTTTATAATGAGATGACATTATTGTTGAAGTGATTTTCAAGTAGATAAATGAACACTTTCTGATCATGTTATTTATACAAATAGCAATTAACAAGTTTTGCTATGGGCTTCAGAAAATATTCTGAATTACTGTGATTTTTATGACAAGAATGGGCCTGGAGAAAGTATTGTCCTTTCAGGCTAGAATTCAGAAGAGAAAAAGGTAAATATATTAATTTGTGATGAAAAGATACCTGCTATCTTTCTGGCTCCAAGGAAATGCTTCTGCAGAAATTTATTTCCACTATCCCCTTCCTTTTTAGAACATCTTATCTCTTGTACCAGTCCAAATTCTGAAGGTGGTGCAATGACAGCGAGGGGAGGAAAGTCATACAAAGCAAAAGTAACCATACTGATTGCAACGCACAAATGACATTTATATTAGAACATGTTATATTGGAAATTTAGTAGCAAAACTTAGTATCACAACAGATACAAGTAGACGTGTTTTGGTTCAGGCAAGAAGATAAAGCAAAAGAGAGGGGTTGATAATTAAACTACAAAATTTGTGTTTCATTTGTCATAATTTTTAAATATATGAATAAATATAAGTCATATGTGTTAGTTATAATGTTCAATTAAAAATAAAACACAGCTGAAAAATGCAAGGGAGTCTAATTTGTCTTCTTCCTACCTGAAATTGTCTTCCAACGTGAAGTGCTGTACCTATAGGTTTTAATATTAAAATTATATCATACATACAGTACACATTAGGTGGTATTTACATTCATCGAAAACATGTTTTGATTTGTGTTAAATAAATAGCTTCCAGAAATCCATCATCATACATTTCTATTTGTAAGGCAAATAAACAAGCAGATTTTCCTGGTGGGTTCCTATACATTAAAGCTTCTACAGACTATAATTTGTTAATCTGGCAACTAATGATGATTGAAGCAACAAGCATGGTGTAATTCTATTTTTTTATTTTTATTTTTTGCTAGGAACTGTGTTCCCTTCCATTAACTTTCTGGGAGTTACATTATGGATGATACCGAAGAAACAAACTATTGGTAAGGATGTGCACTTTCTTTTTGACACAGTCTTCCCTCTGTACAGGAAACTGATCTTTTAAAAGTACTGCACATTTAGATGTGGTGATGATATTATTTTTATCCTTCTTTCAGAAGATAGAATAAAAGGAAAGAACATGGATCCTAACACAGGAAAAGAGTTTGGTTGCATTTATCCCATTGAATTCAGTGTCTTTGATTACTAATTTCCTCTGAAATGGATGAGAAACATTAGAGATGGCTGAGATTCAGACTAGAATCTGAATGATGTTCAGGTCTGAATGATGTTCAGATCAAAGATATTTAACAAAATACTCAGTTTTCAGCACCGGCAATTTTAAGATGAAATTTTGCTTTCAAATGGCAGATTGAAGCTTTGACTATAAAATCTGTATCAAAAAGTGAAATTCAAGTGATCTAGTTCTTAGTAGGCATTAACTGAAACTTTGGGAGCAAAGTACACTTTCCAGTGAATTAAATTAGTGTTTCTCTACCTCAGCAACCTTAAGATGCATGGACTTCAACTCCCAGGTTACTCCATGTTGGCTGGGAAATTCTGGGAATTGGAGTCCACATATCTTAAAGTGGCTGATATTGAGAAACAATAGCTTGGTCACAATTTTTTTTTTCTATCATGGGTACCATCTTATTTGATTTGCTTCAAAGTGTTGTATATCTGTATTTGGGCACTATTCAAAAACTATAATGAAAACTACAGCACTATTGGCAGCGGACATGCAAAATGAATGAAAACAGAGACAAATTCCTTTTTGTTGAGTTCCCTCTTCGCTAGAATACCCTTCCACTGGATAATGAGCTGACATTAGCTTTGTTTACTTTTCATATCTTTTCAAGTTTGCTTGAAATATTGTTGTCATATTTTACAGTCTCCCTGTGTCTTTTGTTCTATGAGATTTTTATTTACTGTTTTTAAGTGATGATTGAATCATTTTATTTCAGACTGACCCCAGGAACATAGTCATAGGCTTTAGTAAATCAATGAATAAACAAATTGCATTCATTGTTAAAGGCCAAATGTTATTAAATTTTCATTGCATGCCATCTGTTTGTTATCATCAGGCTTAAAAATCACTGCTACCAGCCCACAATTAAATTCAAGCAGTTATTATATTATAGCTAACAGTTTACAGCTGCTTGGATCGAAAACAGAAAACATACTTTGGAGGGGTTGAGAGCAAGTTCACCATACCTGTTTCCAGCTCCTTGAAAAGTTGCACCATTCCTCAATAGTACAGTCTGAAAAAATATGTATTTGAGTTAAGTTTTGCTTAAATTAATTGATTGCATCCTGTCATTGCCTCCTGAAGTCTACAATACAAACACATATTTTTTCTGGGGTTGTATGGCTATTGTGCAAGCTTGGCTATTTAATGAAGGATTACAGATGCAGAGAGCTTGCCTGTCTCCCTGTACTCCACCCCCCCCCCCTTTTTTAAACTTTGATTCCAAATAAATGCATATCCACAATTGTTCTTATTGCTGGTAAGATCTTATGTGATTCGTTGAGTTGATTTAATTTGTCACTATGCACGTTTATTAAATGGAATGACCCCCTCAATTATCAATACTTTCATATATTAGATACTTAGGCCATATTACCAACTCTAAATTTTAGAGATAAGTTACACATAATTCATTATAGGAACTGAATATTGAAAAACTATCTGGGGGTCTGATGCCAAATACTATGCTGTGTTTCAGATGTGCTAGCTCCTACTGCTGCTTTGTATGTGTGCCTATGTGCACACAACATGAATGAATATATAGCTTCTTAGTTTGTGATACCATGGAAGCCATAAGAAATATTGCCTCACAGGCTTTAGACTAAGACTGTAACAACTCTTCTCACCCAATAAGCATCAAATTCATGTTGACACAAAATCTGAAAGCAAGTATTTCTGGGTTTTAATACTGCACAGAACCTTCAAACCAGGTAATAAAGCAGATTCTATAGTAATCATTTAAACAGATTCTACCATTATGTGGTGGATCAGAGTCCCAAATTAATATTTCCCCTATGCTTGTGGTGAAGAATTGTTATTTTTCTGAGAAACTGTACTGATTCCTGAGTGAAATTTGAAGTGCTGGTTATTATGGTAGTCCTTGACTTACGACCACAATTAAGCCTAACATTTCTGTTGCTAAGTGAAACATTTGTTAAGTGAATTTTGCCAGATTTTACAACTTTTCTTGTTGTTAAATGAATCACTGCCATTGTTAAGTTAGTGAAATGGTTCTTAAGTGAATCTGGCTTCCCCATTGACTTTGCTTGTAAGAAGGTTGCAAAAAGTGATCACGTGACCCTGGGACACTGCAACTGTCATAAATATGAGTTGGGTGCCAAGTGACTGAATTTTAGTCATTTGACTATGGGGATGCTGCAGGGGTCATAAGTGTGAAAAATGGTCATAAGTCCCTAAATGAATTGTTGTGAGTTGAGGACTACCTGTACTTATAAAGCCTTATATGACTCAAGCTCAGTGTTTACAAGACTGCTCACTCACCCCTCCCACATTGTCATCCAATGCCTGAACTACACTCTGGGGGGGGGGGAATCCTTGACAACAATAGGATTTGCCCCATGTGAGATTTATTTGTTTTAGCTTATTTGGTTTGTTTGCCACCATTCCAGCAAGAAAGTAAATTACACTGTGAAACAAAACAGAAATGACTTGCCCTAAGCTGTACATTGAACAACCTAGCTCTTTTTGCCCTGAGCTGTAAGAATGAAAATCTGATTTGTAATAAGCAATATTTGTTAGGTATTTTATGGTACCATTCATTCTGTGAGGCACATATTGGTTTTGCTGCTATTACTTCTGGGGCCTCACAGCTTTCAAGATGAAAGCGATTTATAAATTAAATAGATAGAACAATGGAAGATAGAAAGATAGCTGAAGGGGGATAATGGGGTTGATTCTTTAAACAATAATTAGGATATGCAGTAGATCAGTTTTAAAGCTGTAATATGTGAAATCTGTGAACAGACCTGACATTTGAACATGGATCAAATCATTTAGAGAATTGTACTTGCATCTAAGAGGATTTTTTTTTTCCAAATATCACAGAGTATGGCATGAAGGCAGTTCTTCATCCAGACCTTTGGCAAGGGAGAGTGAAACCCCTTTGCTTGGTTCCTGTCTGCTTTGTCCTTCTCATCATCTTTTTTTTCCATTTGTTATTAATTGTATTTATCTTGTTTTATTTGTTGGGGGCTACCCAGAGTGTTTGAGTTGCATACAAATTGGATAGATAAATGGATATATATTTTTTCCAAAGTTTATCCACTCTAGATATAGACAAAATTATCTAGGAAAAATGCTCCTTTAAATTATATTCTGAAAGAAAAGTTAGCTTTGCAAGCAAAAGGGGCATAACAAAATAAGCTTCATAATTCAGGCTTATGGTCATGATATTGCACACATGGACATAAGAAACCAAGCTTGTATAGGTGTTGCAATAGTCACATTGTCATTTTGGTAAAACAGACATGATAGATGCCTCTGAATTGATTAAGCAATGTACGATATGTGTACTGTACAATATATATAATACTCAAAACAAAGTAGAAACCTGGAAAGGCAAAAGAAGCTTCTTTTCTTGTAATTTTGATCCAACTTTTCTTTTGATTTATTGAATTATACTTGGCTATGCTATGCTGGCTGATTCAAATGGTTACTATAAGTCCTGATAGTCACAGGGAACTAGAAAAGGATGTTCTATCCCAAATCCTCATGGCGGAAAGTAGAAAATCTTTGGAAACCAACAATTGATTGTAAAAGATCAATTGCCCTGATCTCTGCTGTCTCATTCAGAAACAAAAATGCATACAGTACTTTCGACTGGACTATTGCTGACAGAGTCAACATTGTGCTGTTCTTATAACAGTTCCCATTAGATCATCGGTGATTAGAGAAAAGACATTAATATTAGGCCATAGATTTCCATCTATATGATAATTTGTTTAATATATTTCCATCTCCTGAAGCACTTATAGCAACTAGTGATGCATGACTTTATGGGGAAAATTGATGCATGACTTTATGGGAAAGTTCGGACTTATTTTGCATTTCTAAAACTTAGCAAATAGCAAGTGACACATTTGAGTATCAGTGAAGTTTTATTGTACAGAGAGAGACATATACACGAATGCCCAGCAATATCTGTTTTAGCAGATACTAAATAAACACCACCAAATTGTCCAGAGTCCTAGCTTTGACTTTTAACTATTGATGAAGAAGGCAAGGCATTTTCTTCTGGAATGCTTTGAGATTAAATCAGAAGACAAGATTTCAGTTTTTTCTTCACACAGGAATTTTACTTTTCTTTTTCTAAAATGAAACATGTAATTTCAGAACCAATATTTTAAAAAGCTGCCAAGCTACAAAATTGAAAATTGGGTTTAAAAATAATGCCTTTGCTCTTAGATTTCAGGCTATATATATGAGCATTTAAGCAGGATAAATCTCTGTTGACATGCCCCTGATTTCTTTTGTTTCATCTCTTAGTCTGGATAGCTCTTAATGGTTGATTTGAAACAGCTTTCCCTAAGTTGATACTTTCAAAAACTGTGTTCCCAATTCTTGTTTTGTCCTGCATATCTGGAACATAGAAAAGCAGCAAAGTTTGCCCTGATTAGTCTAATGCCGCAATTTTATGCATGCTTACTCAGAATCCCACCATATTCCATTCAAGTGAATGAATTGAAGTAGAATTTATGAAGATGTGGTTTCTTTCAACATGTCAGCCTTTTGTTGCAATGATCAGCAATCTAGCTGCTCAACCCTCAGGTTTTTGAAATGTATGTCCAACATGTTCAGTAGACATTACCTGGAACTCTTTCTTAAATATTTGCATTTCTGGTAAAAGTTTTAACACATTCAGGACTTTAAAATCCCAATAAAAATATATTCACATTTTTACAGTGAATTCCTCCAAATAATCATTTTGATGATTGAGAAATAAACATCTTTATCTAT